ATTCCCTTCACGTCGTAATAACTGATAATCTAATTGAAAATATTAGTTAAAATAGTTAATTTTACCCTAGGAAAGCTATAAATAGCCATTAAGTTAATCAGATACAATCGACCAGGATAAAGTTGAAGAAGCTTCAAATCCCTACCTCCCACGGTTAACAACTGACTTAGAAACTCATGTAGTGCCGATTAATTTCGAGAAACAGTCGTCCTCGTAGACATTCGGCATGTTTTTTATCGGATATGCCAATAGCCGAAGCTGTTCAGTCAAACAATCACACAAGATCACGTTTTGCTACGTCTAGCAAAGCTACCGTTATAACTACTCAGCTTAGATGCAATACATTATTATATTTTAGCCTATTAAACAAAAACTTCCGTCCTAACCATTCCTGGCCGTTGCATTTTGCTGTCCTAGAGATAGCTCGACAAAAGATGCACGGACATCAGTGTTTGCAAACTCTGTTCTACTCAAATACTATTCACATGAGATTTAGTAGAATCGCTTTTTAGGAAGAGGTTACTCACCTTAACAAACAAGAGTGATGTGTGACGAATGGAGTGTACCTAGCTAAACCAAAACCCGAATTTTATATACCTCTTGATTTCCGAAGTGCAAATGCAGCCACTTTAGTTGAGAAAACACATAGGAAACTTCGAAAAGTCCAAAAGATGTCTGTGGTTTATGCTAGTTATTTGTATGGTATTGGATACTGAACTTCGCCAAGGCGGGATTTTGAAACCTTACGTTTCGTCCGCATTTCACTACGTCTGGTAAGATTTTTCCGAAAAAAATCACATAGTTAATCGATAATCCTGATTTTGCCAGGGCAAAAAAATATGACTTTCATTGGACCCCGTTGCTTCAGAATAAAGACAAAACTCCTGCATACTGTCTAGCATTTTGGCGTAATAACTGATGTCACCCGATCTCCCTGTTTTGGGGAAATTTTTGGGTTTAGTCTTATTTTCCCAAGGTTTTCTATATCAGCTTCTCTATGATGGAGTAAATTTTCCCTAAGATCGGGAGATTGGACAGTTCACGACAAACACCCTTATTTTGATTCCTAACTCCAAGTTCTAATCTTTATTCCTCATACTAACTAATAGTCCTGTTTTGGCGCTAGTAAGTAGGTGAGTTGTCTCGAGATGACTTTAACGTCCCCTAATGACCGTATATTATAGTCTTAACTTGCAAGCTATCCTGACTAGGCAAAATACACGACTTTTACATGATACTATAGGTAAACTCTTTACAAGCTCTAGTGTGATAGGATACAGACTTGTGGGGCATGACTATAATTTATGGACGAACCCATAAGATAAAAGATAAAATGTCTTGGATTTTCAGTCTTTAGTAATAAGGATAAGTCTGTCGACTTACATTAATCCTTGCAGTTTGTAGCACTGGAGGTCTCATCACGTTTTGAATATATCAATAGAAGGTGCTAATATTACGTATTCTGGTAAAAAATTTCAGTAATCCAACAGTCGGCACGAGAAACAAAACCCCAGACGGTTTTTGAATATTCTTCGAACGTGCTCAAATGGCCCGTTCTAGATGGGAGTAAAAGATAGGACATATTAATACCAAGGTCATCGTTCAGTAAACGATAAACCAATATTATATCATCCCGTATTCTAAGGTAAGATGACGGAAATAAATTGAGGTTTCCCAGTCTATCTTCAGAAGATAGAAACCTTTCAGTATTTTAGTCCCTCGTCATTGACCTTGTTCAAGCATATCCACCTTATACTTGAAACAATGACTCGCTGCTTAAATCCCATATTCCAAATGCGGCCGCATAAAAGTCGGGTATAATAATCTAAAAATTTCATCCAAATAATGAAATGGCGCAAAATTCATCCATTTGGTTAAAAAGCGTTTTGGGATTTTATCTATTGTCAGTTTGTGATGAAAACTTTGAATATAACTCCTAACCACTAACTGTAAATCATAACCCTTATTCTTCACATACGTTTATAACTCTCATTTAGCCCTAGCAAGTAGGTAGATAATTCCAAAGCCACTTTAACGTCACTCAAAGATTGTCTATAAATTATGGTCTCATTACGCGTGGTTCCTAAAGTTCATATTTGCTGAGCCCAATGACTTTTTATAACTAGTACATATAATCTTATTATTATTATGATTATTTATTTTAACACATAGATATTGATACAAGGAGGCACCAAATACATATGCGCCACACAAATCTCATTTGATATGTGTGAGGGCTGTGATACTGCTTGGGTGCCCAAACCGAAGCAGGTGTTTTTTTTAGGGGACCACACCCAAAGCCTTCGACCTGAACGTCTGATCCACAAGGCAGTGGAGCATCGTAAGGAGATTCAGTCCCATGGTAGCCGGTGACCGACGATTGGTTCATACGCCATTTGTTCCTTCAGGATACTGGAGCCCATGTGCACCATCGGTTTTGGGATCCGGTTAAAGCGCCGGACATAGGCTTTTCGTCCTCTCATCTTCGTAAACAACACCCTCGCCACGAGAAGACAGGGAGTAGGACTTCCCTGGCAGAGGCTATATACGCGTGGCCATGTGAGAGCATTTCGAGAGGGATAGCGGACTCTCCCCACTCTCGGCCATACCAGGGCATTTGGGGGCTACATATAATCTTAGTACAAAAGAGCCAAGCATTTTCCGGAAGTAAGTTCAAAGTCCTCATTTAGTAACTATCATACTAGTTGTAAATAGTTTCGAGTGCCTAATAATGGGGAATCAGGAAATTATAAATTTATGCTGCTCGGTTTTATTAGTTTTTCTTTCGTCAACTTATCTGGCTTGCACTATAGTGGTGTTTTAAACCACAAAAATAGTCCCACCAAGCTCATTTCAAAGTTAATCTTTATGATAATAGTAATCGTGTCAGATGTGAAGCATCACTTTATTCCGACTACAATTGCTCCGGCAACATCGGTCAGACTGTTCTGCCCTCCATGGCCGGTGACGACTGATCCACCAAATGAGGCGGAAGTCCGCAAGGAACTGAAACTCTTGAAACGTTACAAATCATCGGGCCCAGACGACTTACCTCTGGCTCTTTTTAAAGATGGTGGTGACTTTCTGACTAAGGGACTGACGACGTTGTTTACAAAGGTCTGGGAACTAGAGTGTGTACCAACGTCATGGAATGAGTCGATAGTTGTCCCTATCTTTAAAAAGGGTTCATGTCGTTCCTGTAACAACTATCGGGGGATAAGTCTACTTCCGATTGCGTCCAAGCTATTGGCCTCCGTCATACTTCGTAGGTTGTTCAAAACCCGAGAAGGATTGACTCGCGAGGAGCAGGCTGGGTTTCGTTCTGGTCGAGGATGTATTGATCATACCTTCACCCCCCCGCCAAATGTTAGAACACCGTCATACTTATCAAAGGCCAACAATCGTAGTGTTTCTTGATATCAGGGCTGCCTTCGATTCGTTGGACAGAACTGTTCTCTGGGATTGTCTATTGAAGAAGGGTGTGCCTGAGAAGTTTATTAACATCCTAAAAGCCCTATACACAAACACCTCAGGCAGAGTGAAGGCATACAACCACCTTCCTGCAATACTCCATTCAAGCAGTGGAGTTAGGCAGGGTTGCCCAATCTCACCATTCCTCTTCAACTTTGCCATCGATGACATTCTGGAAACAGCTCTGACGGATGTAAGTAATGGTGGTGTGGATCTGTTGCCTGGAGAAAGACTTCTCGACCATGAGTATGCGGATGATATTGTCTTACTGTGCGAGAATGCCCAAGCTATGCAATCCGCACTTAATCAGTTAGCAGTCAGTGTCAGTAGCTATGGTATGTGCTTTGCACCTTCGAAGTGCAAAGCACTTCTACAAGACTGGCAGGATCCTAATCCTGTACTCACCATGGATGGTGAGCAGATTGAAGTAGTCGAGAAGTTCGTGTATCTAGGTAGCTGCATAAGTGCTGGTGGTGGCGTGAGTGATGAGATCAATGCACGTATAGTGAAAGCCAGAGCGGCTTATGCCAATCTGGGCCACCTTTAGCGCCTTCGTGATGTTGGTCTGGCTGTAAAAGGTTGGATCTACAACGCGACGGTGAGAGCAGTTTTGCTCTATGCTTGTGAAACCTGGCCTCTCCGAGTTGAGGATGTTAGACGACTCTCTGTGTTCGATCATCGTTGTCTCCGAAGGATTGCTGGCATCCAGTGGCAACACCATGTCAGTAATGCAGTGGTCCGGCATCGTGTGTTCGGTCACAGAGACGATATTGAAATTGGTGTCACCATCTTGAAACACCGACTTCGGTGGCTTGGACATGTTCTACGAATGTCGTCCCAGAGAATTCCACGTCGTGCATTATTTGCCGGCTCTGGGACTGGTTGGAAAAAGCGGAGAGGTGGTCAGTATATGACATGGTGTAGTGGTGTGAAAGAAAGCTGCAAAGGGCTAGCTTCTGTTGGTCCTTCACGACTCCCTGGCTGGGGTCCAAGAGACGGTGTAACGCAGTGGCTAGAGACGTTATCAGATATGGCTCAGAATAGAAGCCAGTGGCGATCGTGCTGTAACCTTCTTTTACTTTCTTCATAAAAAGTGGTTGTATCTTCCTTAACTGAAAGATTTCTTCTGATTGTACCTTTCTGTTTTCTCCATCATTGTTCTCTCCCTCTTTTTTTTATAATTCCCCACGTTCATTACTTTTATTTATATATATATTCTCCTCTTCAAATTATCATTGTTTTGTGTGGCGCATATATATTTGGTGCCCCCCTGTACCAATATTTATGTGTTCAAATAAATAAATAATAATAAATGACTACAATTGCTCCTAATTGTTGTTTAAGAGCTACAGTATTGCTCATCTACTAATTCGCTAAAATTAAGCTGTGGGGATTGACAGGCATAAAAACCAATAAGTATTCGCTTGAGTATGGTTTTTAACTTTAGAATTTTTTATAGCTTTGAAGATCTTATGCCTCTTTGATTAAATCAAACATTTTTTGATATTTCAGCACGTTTAATTCATAAGATGCCGTCTAAAATTTCAAAGTGGTTATCTTCCTACAAACCATCATCTCGTGAGGCGATGGATGAATTTATCACATGGATGTATTCAAGTAACAAACTAGTTGATGATATAGAAGATACGTTTGAAAAGCTAGTCTCCTCCAATACTATTTCTGATGTCTGTCAAAGATTATTTGTATTTTATAAATCTGGTTTACCGGCCTTACAAAATTTTGTTGTTCTTCTTTTACCTTCATTATTGCATTCATATTTATGTCATTCTTATGAAGATAATAGCTCATCATCTCAGACAAGAAAAATTGTTTCAAATATATCAGATTCATCCCAGTCATCATTTTTAATCAGTTTGAGTTTGTTAGAATCATGTTTGCTGAGCATATGCAATTATTATCTTGTAAAAGCTGACCCTTTAAAAGGTAAATTTGAAAGCTTTATAGGTGATATTAATAACTTTCGTCTACCATCGTTAACCACACCGTCTGTTTTTCATAATCCTGTTCCTATTAAGGAAACAATCGAAAGAAATGATGCCAATGTTAAAACTGAAAGTGAGAATTTGAATCCTCTTAGAGTATCTGCGATAATATGCCTAGTTCAAAATTATATTGAAATATTATCCACTCTTGATCTGCAAAATCCTATTATATCTGTGCTAGTATTTCACTCATTGTCAAGATTTTCAAAGTTTTCAGATCGTGTTGTTAGCATATCAAAACGTCCTCGTATTCCAACTTCATCTGGTTTATTAATGATATTACTGGATTGTTCAGATCTTATTTTATTTAAACTCGATTGCTTTGATAAATACTCTGGAAGTAATAATCGTATTACTGACTCAATCCGATCTTCTATACTAGACAGTATTATAGAAATTAGTAATCGTGCTACGCATCATTGTTTTTCTTCTTGTCTTTTAGTATGTCAGTCTTTATTACACTATCGCAGTATTTATTACGATTATTGTGATCAAAAACGTAGGATGGAAGATGGACATATTCGGGATATTGAAAATACCCCTACTTCTCGAAATGGACTTACTAATTCTACTCACATTCCACCTGTGATCTCTATAAACTCTATAGAGGATAAAACTTCACGTACTGAGTATACTCCTCGACCAAAACTTAGCTCTACAAATGCTGAAGTATTTACAAGTGCTTCATTTAAACCAGAAATTGTATCTGAAGATATAACTCCAGTCAGTGAAAATTCTCGATCGTCCAGACCAGACAAAATGACAGGCCCAGTGGAGGATGTTAATAATGGGGCTAGTGCAAGTAATAATACCAATAAGAAGCATTCCAGTGAAGTACATGAAAGAAAACACAATAAGTTAAACATTGGTGTTGATTTCCGAATCAAATCAAATGATCATAGAAAGCATACTTTGGAGAAATTATCTGCACACCATGTATAAAGTAATAACACTGAGAAGTAGAACTACAAATCATATAAAATTTCTAGTTAAATAAATATCATATAAACTTAATTCTGTTCGTCGTCTTTCATTAGCATTATCTTTTAATAAAACACTATCGTTGGTTTATGATCAGTTGACGAATGAGGTGTTGTTCATGACTTACATTTTCTCGCACCTGTGTGACTCCTTTTATTTATTTTCGTAACTTTTTATTTTTTACATTCTCATGCAGTCTTTACAATGAAACCTCTGTGTATATATCTTAACTTTTTCTATCAAATTACCTAATTATTAATAGCGTACTTTAAATGGAAAATTATTGTATATCTTATGTAATGTCTTATTTTCTTTATTCTACCAGTCAGTTGTTTTTTTAAAAACACTAGTTTAGTAAGCTGAAACTTTTGCAGGTGTTAACGTAATTTAATCTTTTAGATTTCATCAAGTTTCGTTTCGTCAAATAGGTTTATTTTGAATGTATAGTCTTCAATCTCGTCGATGGCTTACGGAAAGCTGTGTGGTTTTGTACTGGACAGACAGCTGACAAATGTCGAGAAGTGCTAAGATAGCAAAGTTGGAGAATAGATAGGTAATAAGATGTGAAGAATGATAAAAAGGGGATAGATTTGTACCATTACCATGTACTTTGAATCATAATCGCCAATCTCTGAAATAAGAAAGATTAGTTCAACGAAGAGTTCTCTTTTCGGCGAATTCATTTTCAAAGCTGTACAATCGCAAATATATATACTTATTTTTACAGGATGATAATAGTACTGATAATAATAATAATACCGAATGCTTATTTGAAGGAACTTTTACTACGTTGCACTTGCAATCTACAGTTCACATTCAACGATGTAATTTATAGACAGAAGGATGGTATAGCAATGGGTTCCCCACTTGGTCCATTACTGGCAGACTGCTTCATGGTCAGTTTAGAAAACAACCCACTCAAAACAATTATAGAAAACCTCCACTTGTATAAAAGGTACGTGGATGACACCTTTATCATTTGTGACAATAAATGTGACTTAAATCATATCCTAAATACATTTAATAATTGTTATCCATCAATAAAATTCACACTTGAAGTTGAAAACAAAAAAATATTCACTTTCTCGATGTGGAAATGACAAGAAAGCAAGATGGTACTTTAAAAGGATCTATCTACAGGAAACCCATGTGGAATGGCCAACTATCAAGTTTCCACAACTGGGTTCCCATCAGCCGAAAAAGAAACTTAATAATAACACTCGCTACAAGAATACGAAGAATCTGTAGCCCAGAAGTCATAGATGAAGAATTGGGCCTTTAAAAACGGGTATCCTTTGATATTCATTGATAAGAACATGAGGCCGAGAACGCCAAAAACGCAAATAATTACATGAGCATCGACTTCAAAGGAGATAGAGCCACATATGTCTTAAAGAGAAGAATTTCGGACTCTTTAAAAGGAACATTCCCCGCAGCAACATTAAGAATATCATTCTCCAGCCGATCATTGTTTACCAACAATCTGAAAGATAAATTATCGCATCTGACCAACTCAATATGCATTTACCAATTTACCTGCTCATGTGGAGCTAGGTATATAGGTCGTTCGATGCGTACTTTATCCAAAAGGATTCAAGAACATTGTCCGGCCTGGCTAAAAAGAGGAGGCAACGGCTTAGTAAGAAGTTCTATAATCGAACACAGGTCACTCAATCAAGACAGATTCTGCGTTCAAAGTCATCTACAAGGAAAGTAGAAATCTTCCTAAGGCAATCAGACTGCAGCTCTTTTGCATCGCCGAAGCAATAACCATACACCTGGAAAAACCAGAATTATGTGTGCGAAAGAGACTGGTACACCCTCTTGTTCTACCTTGGTCCTAATGTATTAAAAATTTTTTCTCTTGTTCCTTTACAGCCATCTGCTTCACCTTTCACCTGCTCCTTAAATCTTCAACCCCCAACTGGTTTGCTTTTATTTCCATGATCATTCCGATTACATTTAATCTCAATTTCAACATTTTATCCTATCATGCTGAGCCATCCTTTCCCAATGATAATTTCCCTATCTATGTTTTGATAAATATTTAAGCCATTAACAATCAAACGATTATCAAACTCTCCTTGTTTTATAAAATTTTTAATACTTTTGTTTATTTAACCTCACTGTCACCATGTATAACAACTTTATTATCAGTACTATTATCATCCTGTAAAAATAAGTATATATATTTGCGATTGTACAGCTTTGAAAATTAGTTCGCCGAAAAGAGAACTCTTCGCTGAACTAATCTTTCTTATTTAATGTTTCAATGGGTGTATTCCGTTTATTAAAAAATCTCTGAAATCTCTTGTATCTTATTTAGATAGCATATATTTTCTCATGCTTTACAGCCCAATATCTAGTAAATAAACTAACTGATCCTGTATATTCGCCTAAACATCTTTTTAACAGCTAAATCCTATTATTATTAATATATTAAGTTGTGATATGTTGTAGTTAAGCATCTGTTCACTGGACACTTCGGTTAATTTGATTGAACAGCTCACTAAAATGTGCGTTCATTAAGTACTAAAATGACGACTTGTCTTTTGAGTTCACCAAACGTTTAATGAAATATATGCGTATTTGCTTTCAATCTTTGTGTGAAGCTTCATTGGTGTTGGTATTGAGTAGCAAGCACTCAAATTTTAAAGGCATTTGGTGTTAAAGACAATGCTTGTGATGTATTAATTTCCTAAAATCTAAAGTGTTGTGAACTATAATTTTAAGATCTAATAAACATTAGCCGCTTTCGTACTTTGTCAGTTTGATTTATCATCTTCCCAAATGACCTACCTGAATACACCTGATTCACAGTTAATTAGACTGCAAGCTGAAAATCTATGCTTTGGCCTTTCTTAAGCTTAGCTATTCGGCGTTTTCTCGGGTGAAATCATAGTGATCTGTACCTGTTCTTTGACACACGGAGAAATGTATTCACCTCTTCCATTTATACTATTATCAAGTGTCGATTGACCACATCACTAAAACTTATAATAATTATTACTATGGTGGCCTTGTGTCTATTATTTCAGCTGTTTATAAAATGACTTGGGATTTTATTGGGCTTTTCGGTATTAATTTCTGTAAATCAAACAGTTTTTAATATATAATTATGTATTCTTACTTCATTGCAACCATGAGATGTCAGCAATCAGCTTTCAAACTCAGATACGTGTAAGAATTTCATTGATATATTACACTAATAAAAACTGCCAAGTTTAGAGAAGGGTAAATGTTTCGAAATTGTGGTTACTTTTCAACTTAAATCGCTTTCATTCAAGTAGGTTAAAAGGGATTGCTGAACTATTATTGTAATCAGTTTTGGAGCAATGCGTTAGCATAGGCAGAAACATGGAAGAATAAATAGTCGTAAAATATTAATAAATATGGGTAAGGTAGTAGAAAAATCTTTGCTAAAGTTATCCCAGACATAAGCTGTTATAATCTGCAGGTATGATAGTGTGATAAATTGTGAATCTACCAGTAAACTTATTTCAAAATATGTTTTCCATCATCTGATTGTGAGTTACAGACCATTCTGCAGAATAATCTTAATATTTTGGAGGTAGTGATAATCTGTATAAATACTACTAGATACAAATGTTTCTATCATATAAACAATTACATCATGTCTGATATAATTACGGCTACCACCTGGGTGGTTTTGGTCAACAATCAGTTTTCGTAGAAGTTTTATCATTGTTGACATCATGCTTCCTTAAATGACGTATATTAAGATTATTACAGTCAGTCGTCATCAACGTAGAACCTAACACTTTTAGAAACCCCATTGTATAAATGCGTTGAAGATAGTTGTCAATCACTTCCTAGATAACTTGTAAATAAGACAGTATCTGATTTATTCAAATCCTGGATAGTATGGGTTCACAACAAATTCTTAAAACTGTAGAGGAAGTTTACTATTTTTCAGATCATATAAATACCAATTATGTAAACAATACCTGTTCTTTGACATTAGATACATCTCTGCTAGTAGTGATATTCAGTTGTTTGTTCAAAATTACTAAACGTATAAGATAATCTACTGTGATTATAGCCGAATAGTATCTTTTTTACAGGTAAACAATAACCAACACGTTTATGGCAGAATGTAATTGTTGTTCGTATAAAAAAGTAACCAAATGGTATAACATTTTCGACTGGCTTTACATACTTTTCACATGGCTCCTTTGAAAAGTCATTCTTTAACGAGTTGCTAGAAAGGGACATTAATTTGGCCTTCAGGCTACCGGCTACGTTACTAGATACCCATCAGTAGTTTTACATAAAAACTTGAATACTCGCCAGTCACGAAACGTCAGAAAATCTGATTTTTCTACTCATTGGGATATTACAAATATATTATTTATTTATAACAACCTACCCAATGCTCAATTTATTCGAAATTATCAAGTCAAGCCTTGGTAATGATACCTAAAAAGTTAACATACTTCAATTTTCTAGAACATGTGGTTTAATCCTTATCGTATGGTGTTTGATGTCTGAAATTAGTGTACTTCATAGGCGATGTCGCTTAATGATTTAAAGGACTATTAACAGTTCCAAGTTTATTGTTATTAAACTGATGTCTAAAGTGAGTTCATACGTTAGTGCATTAAGCTAATTGTATGTATTCCGACTTCAGTGCGATGAGCCAGAAAGCTAAAATTCTATGTAATTAGTTCCCTTTATAAATTTAAATAAAGCCAGAACAAACATGGGTGCAGAATGATATGAATTCATTATATTTCGTGGTTTCTCATCAGCTGCTTGCAATCATATATGTACTGAAAGTAAACATCAAGGTTAGATATAGTGTGAAACAGTTTATATGGATGAATGGAAAGAGTTGAAATGACAAAGGTTATCAATAATAACTTTGTATATG